AATAATAATATAATATATATATATATATATATATATATATATATATATATATAAGATATCCCAAAAATATGACAATATCTATTAACTAGAGATTCCTGAACTAATTTCAAATAACATTTTCCTTTGCAAACTTTTGTTACGGCTCTATTAATGAATTATTAATAAAATTGACCAATCATAGAGTGCGTAATTTAATCGAATCACGGTAATAGCGTTGGCTCATATCGCCGAATAAGAACGAACAAATCTAAACATATGTTGAAGAAAGTTTGTTAATTATAGTTTATTATTCATGATATAATTCAATATAATTTTTTATCAATAAAAAAATATTCAACTGATTTTCTTCGACATATTATTTGAATTTTCGGTCCGCAGCATGTATAGCTTGATTATATTAATAAATTACACGTTCTGTGATTGATATTTTTTTATTAATCACCCAAAGACATTAAGAAAGTTTTTGCAAAGGAAAATGTTGTTTAAAATTACTTCAGCAATCTCTAGTTAATATTTCCAATTTTTGATACATTCTGTATATGTTATGAATTATATATATATATGATATATGTACCCAATCCATATGTTATAGATATATGTACTCAAATTTTCACATACCTTTCGATTGTCTTGTGAATCGATATCTGCTCCAGCATGATACAATAAATCAACAACATTTAAATGCCCACCATTTGCCGCTAACCATAATGGACTATTTCCTTTCTTGTTTTTTACTTCGACTTGCGTTCCTCTATGAGATTAAAAAAAAATGAGTTAAAATTACAAATATAGAAACATTATCAAAACATAAAATAACAAACAAATATTACCTTGATAATAATAATTCTACAAAACGGCAGTGTCCTTTATCAGCAGCAATGGTGAGAGCAGTATCGCGAGATGATGGAACGGGAGTAGCATTAACATCAGCTCCTTTAGTTAATAAAACTCGCCCAACTTCTACATATCCTCCACTAGCTGCTTCCATCAATGGTGTTAAGCCGGTCTAAAATTTTAGTAAAATCTATATAAACTTTGAAAAAAATAAATAAAATAATATAATTTTTTATATTTCATGCTACATTTTAAAATTTTTATATTTCAATATAAAAATTTTATGTAATATATAATAAAATAATATTTTTCAAATAAATAAAATAATATTTTTAAAATAATATATTTCAATTATAGCATATTATAAAAACTCATCTGTGTATTTATTTTTACATATTTTATAAAAAGAAAGGATTTAAAATATATAATAATAATAATAATAATAATAATGAGTATAAAAGAAAGAAAAAAGATGAAAGAAAAAAGAAAAGAGATAAAACACTACACGCGCACACATACATATTTGTTTATACCTTAGCTCGATGTTCTACGTTAGCCTTTCGATCGAGAAGAAGACTAACAACTTCATGTCTTCCTTGGAAACACGCCAATGTTAGCGCCGTATTACGATTAGTTTCAATTTGAGCATTTATATCACTGCCCATATCTAATAATAATTTTACCGCCGCTGCAATGAATATTATAAATATATTTAATTCTAGACTTAACACAATATTTTACTTGTAAACATAATAACAACTTTATTTTATAATGAACATACCAACATGACCATTCATAGCAGCAAGCATGAGTGGAGAAATACCTAATTTCGAACCAGTTCGGGAATTAATTTCAGCACCATGACTAAGGAGAAGCTTTATTATATTAACGTAACCACCGGATGCTGCAAGACTCAAAGGTGTGTAATCAGAAACATTACGATGCTCCTTATTAGCACCCCGATTAAGTAGAAGCTCTACCACTTCGTATCTACCACCACTGCAGGCAAGAGACAGAGGTGTATCCTTAGTACGTTCAGATTGAGCTTCTATATCAGCTCCGTGATTCAAAAGAATTTCAACCACTTTTTGATGTCCTGCTGTTGCTGCCAAAATAAGTGGAGTAAATCCTTTTTTATCTCTGTGCTCTGTAAAATATGAGACAAATTTATAAAAATTTATGAAAAAATGTATGGTTTATATAATATGACATTATTTCTATATACCTATATCTGCACCACGACTTAACAAAAGTTCAACAAGTTCTTCGTGGCCACCAGCACATGCTAAAGTTAAAGCTGTATCATGATTACTGTCTGTTTCAGAATCCACATCCATACAAGAAAATGGTGCAGGTGGTACTTGACTAGTAGTATAACTACCAACTGTAGGAACACCTGTTGTGTATTGACCAGCGACTAAAAATTTAATAAAATTATTAAAAATTCGATAATTTTCATCCTTAAAATATTTATATTATTAAAAGATGATACATTTTTCTTTCTTTCTCTAAATATTCATAAATTCATATAACTGAATGTAATAAAAAAAAAATCTTATACCTGTTGTTGGATCCAATTGATAATTTTGGCTGGGGAAATTAGGAGTCTGCTGTTGAGTATTGGCAGTTTGTTGTTGTTGACAAGATGGTTGTTGAGATAAAAGTGGATATCTTCCTTTCTTTCCTTTACCGGTTGTAGGTGCTGTATAAACTTGCTTCTTATCTGAAGAAACAATAGTAGCAGCTGTTGTAGTTGCTGGTGCTTGAGTTTGAGTAGCCACTTGAACTTGATTAGTACTGCAAGCTGTTGATTGAGTATAACCATTTGTTTGATAGGATATACTATCTATTATTCCTGTTGCTTCACTTACAGCCGGTAAAGCTTGTGTTGGAAATGCTAACCACAAATAAATATTAAAATTTCATATTTTTACATATTTTTGAAATTATATATGTGTATATATATATATATATATATATATATATATATAATGTGTGTGTGTGT